GTGCTCCTGTCCCACGTGTCTTTCCTTGAGATTACTATGGTGAATGGGTGAATAACACCATCATGTCCTCTTTCTCTGTACTTTTTTTTCCTTTTTCCTGTAGGACTTTCTTTACCAAGTGTTTGCAGACATGCTTACATGGCCTTGAACAGGTCTGCTCGGTGGAAGACCATCTGGGAAAGTAAGAAGGAAAATCTCATTTAAGTCTTGATCAGATTTAAGTATGATATGACGGCACAGCTGTTGGTGCTTTCAAAGACCATATACTACATCTGGGCATGCATGTGGATAGGCCTTTATTTGGCATGTAGGCATGTTTGAGGTTGTGCGAGGGCTCTCATGATTTCTTGGACGTATTTCAGCCCAGGCTGGAATGGGAGCTGGTCTCTCTGCCATGGGCAGTGTGAAAGGGATTTTGCCATTTATCCTCACATACTCACATGTAAGATGGGCTGTTGTCTTATGCAGCACTAAAATGAGACAAAAACAACCCACTGAAAAGAAATCTTAGTCCTTTGCCATAGAACTGTCCTGGAAAATATCTTAGCTATCAGAAGTATATTGTGAATATGGAAGACTACAGAACAAATAAGTTTCCGAATGCTGTATTATATTTTTTAATAAAAAGGCATTTATGAAACTCCTAAGACTGTGATTTGAGGGTCTTAACAAGTGAGAGAAAAAACAGTTTCAGTCGCTCAGCTCTTCCCTTGTTGTGCAGATTTAATAACGAGCTGCTCTGCCTTTAACTTAATGTCCCTTTGAAATAGGAGATTGCATTGGAAACATTTGGCTTTATATGGTATCTTTTTGAATGCTAACAAAAGTGTAAGTTCTGCTAACTTTGTGCAAATGTAACATTTTATCTTGGTTTACTTGCTCTGGTACAGCCTCACACAGATATAGTCTAAATAAAGCATTTTAAATCAGTGGTTGAAGTCATTCCTCTCAAGTTATCTGGCTGTGAAAAAGTTGCCAAAGGGTTTTGTGCAACATTTATTTCCAGAGGAAGGAATGTTTTTGTTCCCCTTATGATTCCCCTTCACTCTTGATGGCTGGTTTAGTGGAAATGCTTGGTTGTCAGAAGAATCAAGATTGTGTATTATTTAGATCTTACCAGACAAGTGGGATTTGTTCCTTCCATTCCAGTTATCAGAAAGATTAACCCTTTGCCCTCATGGTCCTAATTACAGGCATTCAGAAACAAAGATTCTGCTTGTACAAGACAGCAGCAAAATGGAGTATGCCAACCCGCATGTTTCTCTGCTGAATGAGGGTTGCAAGTATTACATAAATTTTGTCTTGTGTTTCAGGCACCGATAAAAGCAACCTGCGAGGAAGATATGTCATGCAAGACTGGGTTTCCTGAAGATGTTCACAGTGCGGTGGTGTCAAGGAGTGTTCATGGAGGACAGCCTCTTCTCAATGGTATGGTTAGAAAGCATATTTTGATTCTTTTTTTCTTTTTGTTTCCTTTAGTTGTAACCATAAATCACTCCGAAGCATTTTCATCCTTAAATAGGGCAGAAACTCTTGCAGGAAAGCACATCAGCTGCTCTGTGATTACTTTTTGATTATTATCATAGGACTTGGAAAATCTATTGGCATTAGTGGCAGCACGTGCACCTCTGACTGTACTTTGAAAACTCCGAGTGTTGCAGAACTTCCTGTTGTTGTCCACTGATTCTTGTTCTCAGCACAGCATTCACTCTGATGGTTCAGTCTATACCTAGAGCCCAAGTATGCATGATGAAGAGGCAATGAAAATTTCCTTTGTGCTTTATATCTTCCATAGAAATACTGCACTTACACCCAGTCCTAGCACTCATATTAATGCAGAGACAGTTCCCATACTGCTTTTTTGTGGCAACCTGAGAAGAGACACCTAGTACCAGGACAGGCAGCAACATGAGAGAGTGATTGTCTGTGAGCCCTTGGTCGGTGACTGCAGCTCTGCAGGCTCTGTAAGGACCAGTGCTAGGGCTGTCTCATGGACAGTGTGCTGCTCTCTCACCCTGGCACCTACCTGCATCTGAATGGCACAGTGCCCAGGCTCAGGATGCTGGTGCTCACGTTGTGCTTGGTGAGTGCAAGCCCCTGCCTCCACCGGGGATGCCCTGCAGTCAGTGCATCTGCCCGCGGGTTGTCCAGGTTGGGAATACGGTTCATTGTTCTTTTGTGTCTTAATTTTTCAGGGATAGAGTAGGACACAGAGGCACATGCTCTGAATCTTTCCTTGGTTTCCCAGCCAGTTAAGTTTCAGTATACAAGTTTGCAGAACTACAACATTTTTAAAAATGTGCATTAATTTGCTAACATATTTTTTTAATCTAATTTAGAAATTGTGGAACTAAGAACATCAGTTTTAGATGGTTTCAAATTCAGCTTAAATAAGGAATAATTTAATTTAATTTGTTGTTTCTTTCACATATAAATTTGGCTACACAGTTCAAGATATTTAAATGAAAAAAATTCTAATGAGTCTGCAGAACAAATGAAATAAAAGCTGTAGTCTTGATTTTACAGGCTGTATGTAGCAGTCTCTCCTTAATTATATTTTACAGACCTGTTTTGTGCTTTCTTAGAAGTATAATGGAAACTCGAGTGCAGGATGAATTGATTAGCTTTAATGTATTTAAACTTGAGTTGTTAAAGTTTCTTTCTATTCAGTTTCAACGAAATATACTCTACCACCACAGATTTTTCTTTTATTTAAGGATAGCTTAGAAATTTATATATTAAAGTAAATGTTCTGACAATTGGGAAAATAATAGAAAGGAAAGAAAATGTTCCTTACTTTCCCACCAAATGAGAGTTAATAGATGGCTATACTACAGATTTTTGCAATAGCCATCAGCACTGAGAACTCCTTGGTGAGTGATGAACAAACATGGATGGGGGTAGAAACAGGGACACGCAGCACAGCAAAGTGCTTTCCAAAGGTGCCACCTTGAAATCGCCATTTGTTTTTTACTGGTTAACTGTCATGCTATCAGTTTGTCTTAAAATGGAGATCACACAAGTTGTGAGATCTGCTCTGTCTTGTGGAGGTTCTCTTCACTCCATGAAATCAAGACCCCTTCTGCAACTTCTCCTCTTTCTTTTCCCACCAGGAACCACAGTGGACTGGACACTAATTGTTTGTTGCATTGCTCATGCAAACCTGATGATAATGACTGACCAGCATTAATTGAATCTCAGCTAGTAACATAGGATGACAGACTGACTTTCTTTTTCATTACTCATCCCATTCCAACAGTCCCCTCCCTTGCTTCTCAGAAGTGAGTGAAGCATGACTGTTGGTTTGTCCTTGAATGGTATTAAAATGCATAGCATTTTAGGGAAGTAGGAATTGGAAACACTGTATGAGGCAAGCAGTATGTATCACACCATATCAGCTGGTTGAAAAATGACCTGGGGGAGTCTTTTTCCTACCACCGTTTCCTCAGCTGAATTACTGCAGTGGTTAATTCTTTTGAAAATTCTGACATGCTTAAAAGCATATAATTTGCTGGTTACACATAAACATGCAGTCCATCATTGCATAGCTTTGACTTAAATTTAATTATACTGTCATTTTGAAATACTATTGTTGTCAAAAGCCTATTTTCTGGTTATTAAACTAGATTCAGATGATGCTGCAAGTTAACTATAGTTGCATGACATTTGCTTCTTGGGGATAATCGTGTGCCTGATTCTGATCTCCGTTGCCTTTCCAACTTAAATCGGAAAAGACCTCTAAAATCACCAAGTTCAACCATTAACACAGCATTGCCAAGTATATTATTACACCGTGTCCCTAACCACCTCATCTGCAAATCCTTTAAATACCTCCAGGTTTGTGACTCCACCACTTCCCTGGGCAGCCTGATCCCACGTTTGACAGCCATTGAGCTGAAAAAAATTTTCCTAATATCCAGTCTACACCTCCCCTGCTGGAAGGTTATGCCTATTGCTTGTTTCTGCAAGAAGAAACCAACCACCACCTCAATTCAACCTCCTTTCAGATAGCTGTAGAGAGCAATAAGGTCATATGGTTGGCCTTGGCCCATTGATCCTCTGTGGAACCTTCCTACCCTCCAGCAGATCAACGTTCCCAGCCAGCTTGGTGTCATCTGCAAACTGACTGAGGGTGCACTTGATCCTCTCTTCCAGATCATTAGTAAAGATATTGAACAGGACTGAGCCCTGGGGAACACCACTAGTGACTGGCTGCCAGCTGTATGTAACTCCATTTGCCACCACTCTGTGGGCCCAATCATCCAGCTAATTTTTTTTACACAGAAAAGAGTGCACCCATCCAAACCATGAGCAGCCAGTTTCTCCAGGAGAATACTGTGAAAAATGGCATCAAAGGTCTTTAGTAAAGTCGGGGTAGACACCATCCTCATCCACTAAGTGGGTCATGGAAGGAGATCAGGTTAGTCAAGCAGCATGTGCCTTTCATGAACCCATGCTGGCTGGGCCTGATCCCCTGTTTATCCTCTGTGTGCCACATGATAGCACTCAAGGTGATCTGCTCCATGACCTTCCCCTGCACCAAGGCTGACAGGCCTGTAGTTTCCCAGATCCTCCTTCTAGTCCTTCCTGTAGATGGGTGTCATACTGCTCACCTCTGATGCACTGGTACCTCCCTGCTTATCCAGGACTTCTGTAAATGATGGAAAGTTACTTGTTGGCCAGTTTTGCTAGCCCCCTCAGTTCCCGTGGATGGAACCCATCGAGTCCCATATATTTATGTGTGTCTAAGTGGTGTACCAGGTCCCTGACCATTTCCTCTTGGATTATGGGCTTCCTTCTGCTCCCCCTCCTTGTCTCCCAGCTCAGGAGGCTGCATACCTGGAGAATAACTGATCTTACTGTTAGACTAAGGCAAAGGAGGCACAAGGACCTTAGCCTTTTCCTCATCCTTTGTCACTGTGTTTCCTCCCACATTCCGTAAAGGATGGAGATTTTCCTTATCCCTCTTTAGTTGCTGATGTATTTATAGAAACATTTTTTTATTGTCTTTTAGGATGTAGCCAGATTATGTTCCACTCCTGGCAGTGTTTCTTGTGGGCAGGCCAGTCCTCCTGCTGGCACTGTGACCCGCAGTACTGCGTGACCTGGCAGCACCCACAGATACTGAACTCATGTAACTGTTTTTCAGTTATTGTGCTTGGGGAGTAGTGACATTCATAATACGTGCAGGACTTCTTTTCCTCCTCCAGGACATCCTCGTTAGTGTTGTAATATCTTGTTACACTGAGGACAAGAAACTACTCTTCTAGATGGTCTGTAGGAAACTGCTGGATTGCCAGCCACTGCAGACTTTGTTCCCTTTGTTTGCTAGAGTTTTCTTCAGCTTTGTGCTTCCATCCCCAAGGGACAAGGCGCAGATTGTCCAGGCAGTTGTCTGCTGTCACTGAGTTCAGATGTACTACCTGAAATCTGGGAGCAATTCCTCCCTGGTGTCTCTCCAATGGCATCTCATGCAGGAGGTGGCCAGATTCCCTTCCATGGTTCTTGTAGAATGCATAAGCAAATACTTTAGAACCATGTCCATCAACATCTACCTCTACTTTGGCCCTTCTAATTTTTTCCCTGTATAACCTTGTTACATCCTTGTCTAGATACCAGTTTCTGAATGATTTAGAGATTAAAGCCTTAATTTTCTTTGGTTTTGTGCATTGATACCAGAAGCACAGAGACTTTGTGGAATTCTAAGCTGCAGAGTAATTTGAACCTAACTTGATGCGTTCTTGACAAGTTGCTTCTTAAAATACTGACCAAGAAAAGGATGATATATTTATTACCTGTCTTGTTCATTTGCTTTTGTCTGGTACAGTGGGGGACAGGCTTCTTTTAAGTTTTTTGGCTTCCATGTCACCAAAATTTAAATAAAATTAGTGTTGTCATATGGCTTGTTGGTTTCTGCATTCCAGCTTTTACAATAAGGTAGGATATCTGGCTTTTAAAGTATTATTGTAAGAAATCTTATCATCAGGGTTCCACCATGTACTACTACATGATACTGTATGTTTTCTGAAGAGATTTCTCTTTATCCTTGTATTCAGGTGATGCTTGTTTTTGGGGGAGGGTTGGACCTGTTACCATTGCATTTAAAAAAATATATATTTGATAATAGCTTTGTTCATTCATGTGATTAAGACATTCATATGGCATCTACTAATTTGTCCTTTTGTGCATGAGGGCAAGTACACCTTCAGTTGTTATCCAGATGTTCAGTTGTCCCAGTATGTGAAAAATTAATGGAGCAATATATTCAGAGTAAAATAAATTGGCGAAGGGAAAAGAAACCGTACATTTATTAATGGGGGGGGGGGAAGTGGGAGGAGAGAGAAAGATAGGTGCCCTTGCTGCCCTTGGTTTTGGGATGAGAAAACAGGGAAATAACGCATCTAGTTGAGGAGTCACAGCAAAAGAAGCTGGAAACCGTTCCTTTAGTAGGTTGTGACTGAGCCGTGTAGGAGGTAACCTGCACTATATGGACTGTGTCCTGTTGTCTCTTTCTGGCGTAGTCTCACCAATGCCCTATGCTCCAGGAAGATGCTTCACTGGCCGTAGCCTTGGAGACTCTTCAAAGCTGATGTCTTACAATTTGTCTTGCACAATGTCTGGCAGTTCTGACTTCAAGATACAACATGCTTAGGTCACTATACAGATTTAAGCTAAGTCTTACAGGCCTGGTTTTGAATTTGTTTATTGTGTTTTACATGTTGTTCCACTTGGTTCCAGTCACTTCAATGAAATTACGATGAATTTTACCAAAGTACTAGGTGAGCTCAGAATTACTACCTTAATTTCTGTAAAGAGAGAAAAAATAAAGTAATAATTTTGGAAACAGAATTAAAAGAAACCTCATGCACCACTAAAAACTGGCTTAGTAATAAAACAGTGGAGTTTTTAGAATTTAATATACTTTGAATTATTTTAGGACTTAAATGTTCCAACATTTAAAAAAAGAAAATAAATAATAGGAAAAAAGCTCTCCAACCATCACCTAGCAGAACTAGATAGTTAACCCAAATTTGTAGGCACCATACTTATGACTTGTTTCTGTAAATAAAATGTGATTGCTGTTTGGAGGGCCATATATAAGACGTGATATTCAGAGAAGGAGAGGTTTAAGTTAAGAGGGAGTTCCATTTAATATATTAAATGCCCTTGCTTGTGCTGGTTTTATCGCATTTTTGTAGTTCATCCAGGAAAAAGTACTTGTGGCAGTTCGATATGTCCAGCCTGTTTATCTAATCTTTGTTCTATATAGTGCAAATTTGAAGGTACAAATAATGTGTTTCAGCTAAAATCATTCACCTAGGAAGGTTACTTGAATGGTTATTTACTGAATCATTTCTTAGAGATTCTTACTCTGATAACTTATAGTAGTGGTTTCTTATCTTTCAAAGACATTATTTTAACATTGTCTGTCCTGTTAGTAGTAAGTACATGATTTTAGTTTTGTGCTAAGCAAATTCATGCCTAAATGTATCCTTAGAGCTCTGTGTAGCTATAAAATTTTCTAAGCTCTTTGAGTTGCACAATGATAAAGAAAAAAATATGTTTTGGTGTTGATCACAGAGATAAGTAGTGATTATGGGTGAGTAACACCGCAGTTCTGTGAGCCATTGGAGCCAGAATAAGCATCAGCGTCAGCTTTGCCAGAAGAGGTGTGCTTGCACCTTCCTTCCTCTTTGAGCCTGGTACCGAGTGCTCATAAAATGAATGGGGTTAGCCAATTTATCTGGGCTAAACTTACACTCCTACTCCTTTAGTTTTTTTTTTTACTCAAAGACCTTGTATGTTTAAATACAGCTATGGTGTCCCTGCTGCCTTTTCTCTTCTAGCAGTGAAATGCTTAGAAAATAATATTTGTTTTGATGCTTTCAAACTGAGTGACAAAACTTGATTCTGGCATTCCCACAGACTTATTTTGTAGTTTACTGTTGAAAATACCAATTGATCTGAAACAACCCAGAAATGTGTTGCTGGGAGTGCGGCACTCAGGCATTGCCTGGCATTTAAGAGTAACTAACATTTCTTCTTGATGTAGTAGTGGAGGGTTGCATGGATGCTGTCTGTCCCAGGTGAAGTCACTTGGCTTTCTTTTGTTGCTAGTGGTGTTTTATTATTCTGCATATACAAATGTCTATCATTAGCTAAGAATAAAATTCCTTCTGAGAAACTCATAATGCTTTAAACTGAAGACAGCAGTACATCTTTTAAGACTTGTGTGTTGTTCTTTTCCATGAACAGCTCTTATACAATTGTATTCTTACTATGGCAGCATACACTGGGGGCTTTGATACCCCAGTGCATATTAACTGTAGAGCCAGGGGAAGTGTTTTTAGCAGAATCATATTTTCCAAGAGGGAAACTAGTCTTTCCCTGGAAAAATAAAAAAGCCCTTTTTTTTTCTTTCCGTGAAAAAAAAATGGAAATGGTAACCACTTTGTTTGAAGTCTCCTTGCCTTAAGCAAAAAGACAAGTTGACAAGTTCCTTCCAGGCAGACAGCCAAAGAATCTCAGATGGATGGGGTCTCTCTATGAGCTGCTGGCAAGCTGGGGAAAAAATGTTTCAATTCTTCCCAAAAGTATTGTTTTCTGAAATTCTTTTCCTATACTCTTCACCCTGCCCACCCTTGCAAAAAAAAAAAAAAAAAAAAAAGTCACACAACCCACCATCCTTCTAGTTATTCTTTTAAGCCTTAGTGGAAGTGAGAATTCTTTTTCCCAGAAGCTTGTGATGGGAATATATGGTTTGGGGTTTTTTCCCTTCAGGTTTCTTAATATTTAGTAGATGTAGTTTTGTCTTCTTCCTTTTGAAGCAGAGTAAATTTAAATGCTGTTACTTGGTGATGCTGTGCCTTTTGTTTTATTGTACATTACAGTTGCATTGCAGTTCTTGGTTTCTTGCCTTTTTAATCCTTTTCCTCTTCTTTTCTCAGTTTTCCTGTTGTTATTCTTTCCATGCCCCACAGCATCTTAAATTCTGCAGTGTCAGTTTTGAGCTTACTATCCTGGATTGAAAGAGCTACTTCTGTTTACTTAAACTACACTAGCACAGTACCTGTTTTATAATGCCTCTTCTCTGTTCATGTACCAAGCTCTTAATGTGTTCTTAGGTACTTGTCCCCTGAAAATCAGAGCTTTCTTCTGAAGCAAGAGGCTGCTTTTCTTGAAATGTGGTTTCCTTACCCCCTTTTGCACATTCCTTAGGCATAGAATATATCCTGAAGTCCACATAGCATATGTTCACCTTGATGAACAGTGGTAAAATACCTATTTTAATGGTGGCTTCTTTTTTTCTTTTTTGTCTGACTTGTATGTGATACCTGATTTTACTCTTGAGTATTAAACTACTGACTAATGTTGTTATCTTCTCATTGCAAGCTTGTATGTTGAATATTACATATATATAAACAGAGAACAAGCATAAATAATGAAATGAGGTGATGTTTGAATGTGAACAAAGGACAGATATTTCAAAAACATACGTCACATTATGCGTTGGTGGACTGTAAAGCTATTGTGGAATTGTAGTATGTGGATCAATTTGTATATTCAGCATCAAAGAATTAACTACTTGAGTTCTAGATGAGAAGAAATTCTAAAAGAAACCTATAAACACATACTAAAGAGAATGTTTTCTTTTTATGGAATATTTGGATTAGAGGTGGAAATATATTTTGTAGTTAAATCCTGACTGAACTATTCTGTCTACTTTTTCCAACGAAGAATCATGATTTGCACTTATTCCATGCATCTATTTCTAGTGTAGGCTTTTATACCTACAACTTGATAAAGAGAAAAATACAGAGACATTAGAGAAATCTGGAATGGTTGCAGTGTTATGGGATCTGTAAATTACTCTCTTAGTGAATTAGTCCAGCTCAGATAGTAATTTCCATTTATGGTGCATTTACTTGGAATGCACTGAATTACTTAGTACTTATTCCCTTTTCCTATATTCAGCTGGTTACTTGTGAGGGTCTCAAAGGTAGTGTCCTTTTTGTGTGTAGAAATATGAATTATGAGAACTGAGTTGTCAGCTGCCCCAGTAAGCTCTTGACATGGCTCAATGGAGGATGGCAAAGGAGTTGTTTGTTTCTGCCCTCTGGAGCTGGGTCTAGCATTACACTGTTTCTAACACCATTTAGTGTTAGCCTCAGTTTTAAACAGTTCAGTTTTAAACTATGCCATCTGGCTTTGATTCCCAAGGGGCCATTATTTCTCCTGGAATCACTATAGTTAGAGCCTTCTTCAAAGCTGACCAGTGCTCTAGGGAACGCTGGGAGGAATGGTGGTTGCAAAGCTGTGGCAGAAATCCTCCTCAGCAGGCAAAGGTGCCTTTAGGTATGGGTGATTTATTTTGGGATAGAAGAAAATTTGCTGTTGCATGCAAGAGCTGCAAGAAAAAAAAATTGTATCTTTGGTATATAACTGTATGGAATACACAGAGCAAAAGCTCAGGTGAGGCCATCTGTGCTAGCATAACGTGAGACACATGGTATGTATAATTATGCATTCAAATTCTCATTTAAGACTACAATACATCTTTTGTTGACTTGTCATTTTTCTAACAATCTGGAAGACAAATTGAATGGAGCATCCTACTGGACTGATATTGTAGGAGAACGTCCTTTATTGCAAAACATATTACCATACTAAATAGAGATAAATTCCTGTAGTATTTAAACACTTAAAGACTACATCAAATCAAATACTGCTATGTTGAAGACTTGGATGTGAGTCAATAAATCCAAATACAGTTTGAACTGCTCTAAATTGGATTGAATGCAGTGAGGCAGATTCATTACTTTTGGCTGAACTTGGGACACTCAATGTGGGGGCATTTTTTTAGTCTGGAAATGATAATTTTTGGAAGATTTCACTTCCAAGCTTTCACAACATGTCCAAGGCATCAGCCCTGCTGAACTGAGGAGAAAGGAGGAAGAAAAGAAAGGTGCAAAGGAACGGGGTCGGATTTTTGGGATAAAATTTACTAGAGTTGTTTTTATCTTTTAATTGGGCTGTAGAAGGAGCAACTGGCCTTTGGTACCCTTTAAATCTTTCCAATTTAATGCAGCACAGATGGTTTTTAACTCCTCTCCATATGCCCCAGCTGGTTGATGTGTCCTCCATAGGGCAAGGAAAATAACGCAGGGGCATAAATGGAGGGAGACTCTGGAGTGGAAAATGGAGCTGAGTCTAGGGAGAAGATAAGGCAGAAGATCCAGGTTGTGAAGGATGGTGAAATGCATGGAGGAATGAAACCTAGTGTTGTTCAAGGGGGAAAGGAAAGCACAGGTTCTCCACAACCCTAGCATAGAGAAATTTGGCATTAGTTGGAAGAAGAGGGCAGAAGCAACCTAAGATAGAAAGTATCATGTTATACTTTCAGATTTCTTCATGACATCCAGTTTAACTTAGTCATGGCCATCTGATACCCACCCTAAAGTAAATCCTGAGGACCCAGTGGAGCTTGCCAGTGTGAAGTAGGTGAGCAGCTAGTGCTGAGAAGCTTTTCTAGGAGAAACAACTGGGCCTTTTTTACACCAAAATGACAACATGATGTCTGTATCTTCCCTTTTTTTTTGCAATTTGTACCAATGCTAAGAAAATTAATCGTCTGAGTATTCAGCCAAGATCAGAACACGCACAGGGAAGAGCCTTTTTAAAATACACTGATCCTATAGCCAAGACATCAGGTTGGCTAAAGAAGTACCTACCTACAGCTGCACATCATAGCTTGTCCGCTGTTCTGGGGACATCATTGGGTTTGAGCACTGTGAGTCCATAAGTGTCTATTGAGTGATCTCGAAATACGTGATTTGGTACCAGTAATGTTTTTTTCATTGTTTCTCACCTTGTGTATAGGTGTGCAGTTTTTAAGTGCTTATGAAAATATAAGATTTAAGTGAATGTGGGAGAGGATATACCAAGAATGTAACTCTCTTTCCCATAGGGATAAATACATGACACTGATGAAGCCTCAGAATGAGTGAGTTAGATCAGCAAGATATTCTCTCACATAATCATTCCTGCTTTTTCTGGTGGGTTTTAGGTCAGCTTGTGTTGCTAATTTACTGGATCCTGTTGCGGTAAAGGAGATAAGTTAATGAGAAATGTGGTCTGTTAGTGGTGATGAGAGAAAAGGAGGTCATAACTGAATGAAACTGCACTGTGTTGGATTCTCTGTTAGTTTTTTTGGTTTTGTTTTGGTTGAGTTTTTTTCCTTTCCTTTTTTCTTCCTGCAGTGCAATTGGGAGCTTTCTTTCTGTTTTAATTTATTGCAGGATTGGGCAACTGAGGATCAGTTCCCTCCCATCCCTTGCTGCCTACTGCATCCCAGCCCTACCCAGGCATAGTAGTGAATTGTGCTAGTGGTTCTTAGCCAGCAATCCCATTAACCCGCCAGCCTGGCTGCAGATAATCCTGGAGAACCAGGGCACCCACCACCGCCCACTGCTGCCATCCCTCACCCCACTGGCTGCAGCTCCTGCCTGCCTGTTGGCACTGATGCTCCGGGCAGAGGAGCAGCACAACATGGCTCGGGTGCATCCCCTCTTTCTCTGAGCTGCCTGCAGAGCTTTGCAGACTGGCCCATTTTGATTTTTTTTCTCTTTTACTGTCTGATGCAGTTTGGCAGACCTGTGAGCAGGGACAGATAATTATGATCTTGTCTGCTTGCCTGCAGGAGCAAGCTCTTTCTTGTGCATTGTGCTGCCTTTTAAGAAGTAGATTTTGTTTGGTTTTGAAAGTTAATGGCATATGATTCTCAGGTTGTAGAGAGGAGGAATTATTTAGGGCCCTCTGTGAGTTCCAGTTTAACATTCTCTCAAATAGGAAAGTAAGGAATCCCTAAAAGCACAATTCGTAACATAAAAGCTATCAAAGTAGCACTGCAGTCTGTTAAAGTGTTTAAAAATTTGATTCGCTGCAGTTTAAAATGTGAAATAAATGTACACTAATTGTTTTGAATGGAGATGAAGATGTTGTTTGAAGCCAGTCTTAGAAGGAATTAGTGAGATAGCACTGCAGTTAATGGTGGAGCACTATTTTTCTGTAATGGGCTTAGCAATGTTCTCTAATTAGCTTGCAAATTGATATTCAAATACGAGTAAACTGGCAATCAAATACAAGCAAAACATCTATGTAAGTAGACTTTGGTGTCTGCATTTAGCATACCTGTATTGAAATTATGTGTGGGTAAAGGGTAAGCTCTTAGTTGGTTTCAGGATAGAGCGTTATTAATGGTGGCTCACTGGTTACAATAGGTCAGTATTTTGGCTTAAGCACATGAAAAGAGGAAAAAGACATTCTTTTTTTTCCACAAGTGAGTGGCTTTTAAACATGAGTAACATAATGCTAAGTGTGTATGAGTTTTTTCCCTGTCTTCATTTCTTTCAGGTTTTGTCAACTTGTGCACAGATTTAATACATAGCTGAGTCAGTGGAAGTTGGGTTGGATTTGGATCATATTTATGTTCATTATTAAAATTATTGCCATATGATATACCCATTTAATTTTAAGCCTTATGCCAGAAACTGGATGCATAAAATACTATTGATGTTTATGTTGTAAGGTTTTCTATGGCATAGGGTACAGGTTCTTGAACTTGAATTTAATGCCTGACTCAAGTAGTTTTCTACAAAAAAGAATGATAGAATCACAGAATGGTTTGGGTTGGAAGGAACTTAAAGATCACCTAGTTTCAAGCCCCCTGCCGTGGGCAGCGACACCTTCCACTAGACCAGGTTGCTCAAAGCCCCGTTCAACCTGACCTTGAACACTGCTGGGGTTGGGGCATCCTCAGCTTCTCTAGGCAACCTGTTCCAATGTCTCAGCACCCACACAGTAAAGAATTTCTTTCTGACAGTACAAGAAAACTGGTGCATAAGAACTGTTGTCGGGAAATGTAATTAAGATCATACATTTAAAATTTATTTTTCAACTTCTTTTGATGTCTTTGTTTTCTAATCTATAAAACATCTCTCAATCATTGACACGCTGATAGCTTGCAAACTACCCTCTGTAAGCATATTGTTTATTGACAGTGGAAATGTGACTGTATCCACGGGTTTGTAAAAACACTGTATGTGGTTTTATCAACCCCTCATACTCCTTCCATCAGCTCTTCATTGTGTTTGTTCAGCATCATCTTTATGATAGAAGTTCTTTGGAATGTACTTCCCTAAATCAAATTCTTACCACTGTGCATTCATTAAATTCAATTAATGTTTACATAGATTTAGCTTTCAGTGCTGATTATCATCTAAATTCTTCAAGGGGAAAAAAAACCCAAACAAAGCCAAAACAAAAAACCCTTGTGTTGTTTTCTGTAAAGCAAGTAGTATGCATTTTACACCATAGAAGTAATACATCAGTGGAAGTCTTTGGCTTTCTAATTCCGAATGTGCTCTTCTGTGCAAATACCCACAGTTTTCCCTCTTAAGTGCTTCAGTGCATGTTTGTGCTTTTATAAAAAAAATTGATTAATTTGGTTCTCAGGGGATGGGTAATGGGGCACTGTACATCCCTTGGAGGTCACAGGTTCAGATCAGACTGTCACCTGCATCCAGTAGCCACTAACTTACAGCTGCTTGGAGGTTATGCAAAAAGAGCTTTGGTTGATTTGGTTTCTTGTGAAGGAGTCTCTGTTGAAAGGGTACTTATTACATAAGAGGAGAAATACTGCTGAGATTAGTTGAAACTGGGACAGCACACACGGGCAGGGAGTGCTCATATGTGCGAAGGTAGCTGGAGAAGGTCAATATCACAGTGCTTTCCCAACTGTCTGGAAGAGAAAAGCAATGAAACACAGTAGAATTTTAACCTCTCGGAGCATATTTATGCAGAGCTGAGATATGTTAGGGCAGGAGTTTTAACAGCTTGGAGCGAAAAGTGCATCTAGCAGTTGAGGTATCCGAGGTGTTTTTGCCTGTGTGTAATTGATTCAGTGTGTTTCCCCGAACTGGAATGAAGTCTCTATTGCACTGAAACTTAAAATACAAATTAACAGCAAAAGAAATCCCTTTCATTCTTCCCCTACATGCCACTATCTGCCCTTCTGACTGTGTCAGGTCTTACTTAATTAAAGTCTTGTCTTATGCCGGTGTGCAAATTAAATATTTAAGAATTACACATGCCATTATTTATAAAAATGGAACATTTTTTCCTCAGAGAAGCTGTTTCTGTCGGTTTTTACAGCTGCAAATGATCTGCAAGTTATTTCCTCCTTCAGATTTTTGCAACAAGCGCTCTGTAATTTACAGGTGCACCCCAAAAAGCCATAGTCACGAAAATGGAAAATTTTTGTTAGCCTTCAGTGGATTTGCTGTTTAAAGGAAGTAAAGCTTAGAAAAGCACAGGTGCACCTGGGTTTAGGACCCAATTTTCCAAGAGAGATCCTGGCAGAACATGGCTGCTTCAGTCTGCTGGGCAGGTCATAGTGCAGTAATGAAGCCTGGCTTAAGGTGGCCACCTTCTTTGTGGTTTTTATATTTCACGTGATTTAAAATGAAAAGGAAAGTTATGGTAGTCTTAATAGTATTGAGTTGTGTGTTTTTCACAAAAAACAAAAGTATACAGAGATTCTTAATTTTTAAGCCCCATCTGTCATGCAGGACATGAGGATAAGAGACTGAAGAAGTAAACTCTGAACATTTGTTCCTGTAAGTGACTATAAGCTTTCAAGTGGTACCTAAACTTTTTGTAGGGTAACCAAATAAAGTCTCTGAGAAAATTGGTTTTGAAGATTGCCTGCTGTCTGCTCAGAGACGGTTGTGTGACTTTTGTTGCATACTGTGAAAGAACACTGTGCCTGGGTCCACTTGGGGAGGAAAATGTGTTGCGTTGCTTGTCTTTTTGGAGTGATCCACAGCTGTGTGTCATGCATGGCCTTGCAAGCAGCATGGACCTTGGCAAGAGCCGATCAATGGATGAGGGCACCTTTGTTTGGGAGATCAATACGTTGTAATGAGCTCAGTGCTCCAGTTCACTGATAAGGATCACTGGGGGGGGATATGAAGGTTCCTGATTTTTTGCAATGAATCAAAACAAAATTTACATTTGAAGACTTTTTTTTCTCTCATATAGGGTTTGAATATTTTCTAAGTTACCTCTACAGACTCTCTGAACATCCTGTAATGTGAACTCTGAGGTTATCTGTAACCTGGATGCTAAATGTTTTTCACAATGACTTCTTTTTGAAAATACCATCAAATAAATCAATAATGGCTTAAGTTAGAAAGAGTGCCAGAAGAGTTTTGGAATACTTCTTTGTCGATTTGTTTCCTGACCGTTACTGGAGGTGGTCTATGTTTATTCCTCTGAGTCAGAGTTGATGTTTTTAATTTGCAAACAATTAAAATATTGTGAATGTGAGCCTAGCAGAGGAGCAGAGTCTGGTAAGGTTTTTATGTAGTTCCTTATACATGATTTTTAATTGTAATAACTTGTAAAACATTTCCACCTTTGTAGAATGTGAAGAGATAGTTTGGTAAACTGTTACACCAATTTTTTTAATAACATTTGTCAAACATATATATTTATGATGCAGAGAATTTTTTGGACTATGTGTAGTGTCAAAATGTCATTGGAGGTCAAAACAGAGTTAAGTGCTTATAAGTCTTTGTTTTTATTTGGTGCTAGAGTTATAAAGTCTCTGTATTACTGAGTAAGAATTATTACTAATTATTATTAGTAAGAATCTTGCTGTCTTACATTTTAAAATTTTTGCTAGCCATGCACAGATCTGCAGCAGGATAAACGGAATTCTGAGTATACTGTGCCATGAACTAAGAGAGAAGAAGGTCACCTTTGTGCCATAAATGCAAACTGTGTTGATAATATTGCTCACTTTATATCACATACTTTATGTTACCTTTGCTAATTTTGCCAGCTACAAAAGGGAAGATGTTTTATTAAGGAAATTATAATATTAGTCAAGTCTTTAGAAAGAGCTGGAAATGCCAAGAGGACAGTGAGATCTTTATTACTTGGTAAGGGACAGGCAAGTGGTTATAGGTTGTTGCAGTATGTTCCGGATTAGTTCTGATAAAGTCATTGGGGAATTTTTATTCATTTATACACATTCTCTTTGCTGCCTTTCTGAACACAAAAATGTACATGTGGATGAACATGACTTTTCTCAACTTTTGAACTAATGCTGCTTCCAAACATTCAAAATATGTTCTCCTCACTATAGCAAGTTCAATTTAGCTCGTAAAAAGCTTTTGCTACAGGCTGCAGAATTTTTAGTGGTTCCCTGACTTGAATCATCAGGTGTCCAGAGCGCTCCAGGATGGATGTTTTAGGTTCCAGGCACTATCCCTGGCTTTTTAAAAAAAGTTAACTCATCTGTGATTAGAAGACTTAAAAGATGCCGTCATGGCAGTTATTGGCAATGACTGGGAAGGTTAGGAGGCCAGTTTAGAAGACCAGTTACCCCAAGTTCCCTCACTGTAAGAGTACAGTTCCCCTAATTTAGAGTAATGCTGATACACAGTATAAGAATTGAAGAGCAGCATCAGCAGCTCCCAGGTAGAGAAAGCGTATCTTGCTAGTGAGAGAAAAACATAAAACAGATGGGCAGTAAAGTAACAT